GTATTGGCGTACTTGTCAAGTACGCCAGACGTGTGAGCACCATATTCGTGCACTGGTCAAATGTACAATTATTGGCGTATTTGGCAAGTACACCAGTCGTGGGAATCCGGCTATAGACGAGAGCTTACAGGGAATATGCTCTCTTCCTAAGTGTCTATCCACGCCTGCAAGTCAAATATAGGTAATTACTGAACAAATAACATTTCCCCATTTGTCAACAATATCCTTTTTTCTAATAATTAGATCATCCCGAAAATGTTTTTCACATATCACCTCATTAGRGCTAAAATAATCTATCCCTAAAGATTGTAGCGATTYCTGCTTTAATTGTTTATCTTTAGGGATAGTAAAAACTGACAGTTTCTCCGAGATGTTACAATGAAAGTAACAAACGTTATTCGGCATTTTCAAATTACAATACTAACTACGAACTTCTATTATGCTAAATACAAATAAAAAAACGTAAATCGAACATCTAGGTTTATAGTTGCCACTAGACAATTATAGACAGCATTAGTACATTATGCAGTTTGTATTGTTTGTATCAAACTATGTTAGGATTATCGATTATTAATATAAATCGAAATAACGAAAATAAAATAATACTATTATATGTTTATAATATATTAAAGTATAAACCAATCTCAATTATTAGATGTTTGAATAAAGTATAAACCAATCTCAATAATTAGATGTTTGAATTAATTTTTGGCGGGCCKTTCAGTAAGCAACGGTTCCTTAATTTCCTAACCTCAAATTAAGTCTAACCGGCAGCGCTTTTGCGGCAACTTGGGAAATGTTTTTGCCTCATTAAGCGGAAATATTGCATTAGGCGGGAGGGTGGGAAGTTGTCCGACCTTATCTTCTAAGACCGTGGTCGAAGCCACGATTTAAGATATATCTTAAATCGTGGTCATTTAAGATATATCTTAAATCGTGGTCGAAGCTATGAACCAACAATTCTATGATAATAATAAATAGATAACAGAAAACTGATTTTATTTTATAATACGTTTATTCAGTTTATTGTGTAATACATTACTGCCACGGATTATTACGTGATTATTACACATTTTTCAGCTGCTGCTTAATTAGATTGTTTATAAARTACTGGAGTGGAAATTCGTTATTTCGTCGGACGTTCAGTTACACAATATATAGGTTTCGTCAATGGTTTAACACTTGACATTGTGCCCAGTCTCGACTGTCGAATACTTGAGCGATGCTAATCGTCATTGGACGAAGAATCACACGTTCAACGATATCAATGTGCAACATGACAACCAGTGCGCTTTAGTTGACAAATATTTTTCACAATTTTTAGATCCACGAAATGACGAGTTAACGTTTACTCAATTCCTTCTGGCATCCACCATGTATTTAACCAATATAAGAATACTGAAAGTATTCTCGTCATATAAGTTTCGCTTTTGTATTGCATTTATAGTTGTACTCAGTTTTTGGCAAATATTTAGAGCCATAACAAATAGTAATAAGCAGGTAAATTAATAAATATGAATAAATATTATTTTAATGATTTTCTTTTTTATGCAGGTAGCTGGTAGATAGTCAATATTTATTTTTTWAATTATTCCGTTGACACAATAACTTCTTCACATTTCTTTATTGTTTGAATTGCAACTTCACTTCTAGTGTTGCATTTAACTTGCAACCATTTTAAGACATTTTAATACTTTAATAACTGCTGTAATTTAATGATTACTAAATTCTTTAAATTACTTTATAATATAATACTTACCTGTGTAATTTTCAGAAACTGATTCATTCTTCACGTGTTCTAAACCATGAAGCCTCATTAATTACTAACAATGTAAAAGATATGACACATCTTCCAGTTGGTGTATATTATGAAGCATTATGTCCAGATTCAAGAAACTTTATACTTCAACATTTAGTTCCGTCTTTTAATAAAGCACCAAATAGTTTTGATATCGAATTTGTTCCTTATGGAAAAGCCAAGGTAATCATTGAATGGTAATTAATTTATAAGGTTTATATTTTGTTGAAAAATAAATAATAGGRAAAACTCTTAAATAGAAAAACCAAAAAAARAATAATAGGATTTATTATGATGTGTTATTGTTAATAACAGAAAATAATATTCGACGAAATAAGAATGATGACCTATGGCCTGTTTAAAACCTACTAATGTAAAATTTACTTTTCTTTTACACATTTAAACAGTTGATTTTATAGTATAGGCACTTTGATAAACTCATAGTAAGTAAATAAGGACAAAATTATTATGGTAATAATAATTTAACATAAAATATCAACAAAAAAAGAGAATCACAAAAATGATGTTTATTCATTAAGATATAAACTAATTAAAACACATTTTCTATAAAATCTGAACCCTATTTATCAGTAATATAAATATTATTATGTAGCGTAAAATAGTTTAATGTAATAATAAAATGAAAAAAACTTATTGTATATTTATTATTTAGACACATGAAAATGTTGATGGCTCAATTACATTTGCTTGTCAACACGGACCAATAGAATGCCATGCAAATAAAATTCATTCTTGTGCTACTCAACATATTAAAGATAAAAATGTTTTGRTAAAATATATATCTTGCATGATTGATAATAATTATGATCCAGAAATGATTGGAATTCTTGTAAGTAAAACTAAACWTAATGTAAATGTTTATTAAAAAAATAAAAAATAAATTTTTTTAGTGTGCCAAAAAATACAATATTAATTGGAATACAATTTAYGATTGTTCAGAAGGAAAAGAAGGTGAACTATTATTAAAGCTAAATGGTGAAGCAACGGATAAACTGTGGCCTCAAGTTTCATTTATCCCAACAATCTTGATTAACCATGTAATTACAATTATTTCCTTAAACAATCATGTTAGTTAGTGATAAACATTTTTATTATTTGTAATTAGGAACAACCCAGACAAGCTTCTGTCTTGAAAGATTTTTGGGGTGTTGCTTGCAGTTATTTTCCTCCTGTAAGTTCTTCAAAATATATAATATTCACCTAATAATAATTGAAATTTTACTATTTTTAAAATAAAATATTTAAATGATAACTTATTGTTAGTTAGCACTGTAAATAATAATGTAAGTATCTCTGTTTAGGAATCAAAACCGGCTGCTTGTTGAATACCYGAYATTCATCAGTTTTTTTATTGACAATGAAGTTAAACAATATTAAAGGACTAAGGTTATTAATTTATTATAAGAGAAATTTGTGATATTTAAATTAAACTATACTTTTTACTTTTTACTGATAATTTTTATTTTTTGTGACCATAATGGAAGAATTCTATATTTGTGTTCTATGTWATATAAATATTATAAACTAAGTAT